ATCCTGGAGAGAGGGGTGTGCAGGTGGTCTCTGCCGTACCCAGTGTGCACTGGAAGCACACATTTGGAGATCAGCCACTTGCTGGCCGGGGACTGTCTCTGTCTTCCCAGAGGCTGTGAGGGGACGTGGAGTGAAAGGGGGCTGGGGGGTGGGGCAGGAAGGAAGTCGAGGGGTTGCTGTGGGGCGGCCATGGATGGTGAAGACAGGTGTCCTGGACAGCGGAGGAGGAGGAAGAGGAGGAGGAGGAGGAGGAGGAGGAGGAGGAGGAGGAGACTTTGCGGGAGGGAGCTGGCTGAGCGGTCGCCACTCTGAATGGTGCCTGGTGGCTAGGAGAAAGCTAAGCCGGACTCCTCTTTCCAGTGGCTGGCATTCTTCAAACCTGCTTAGGACTCCTGCGGAGGGCGGGCACAGCCTCCTGTTTCCCACAGGCCTCCTAAGAGAGCATGCAGGTGCGTGATCACCTGCTTTTTCCCCTGAAGGTTTGGGAGGCAGGGGGCTCCTCGGCTTCCCCGATAGACGAAGCCGGTACTTTACCCCCTTACTCTAGGAGCCTTCCAGTGCCTATGCAGTAGCTCCCTCAGGTCACGGCGGGCTGCAGTTGGAGACGTGTGTGCCTGCGTGTGCACGGTATACAGGTGTGTCGGTGTGTGTCTGTGACGCTCTGGTCTCTTCCCGTGCCCATTCCATGCTCACTTCTCCCTCCTTTACACAGGGCCCCAGGGACTGGGCACATTTTCTCTCTCTTTTTTAAGATTTATTTATTTTTATTTGAAAGACAGAATTCCAGAGAGAGAGAGAGAGAGACAGACAGACAGAGAGAAAGGTCTTCCATCCACTGGTTCACTCCCCAGATGGCTGCAATGCCCGGAGCTGCGCCAATCCGAAGCCAGGAGCCAGGAACTTCCTCCAGGTCTCCCACGTGGGTACAGGGGCCCAAGGACCTGGAACATCTTCTACTGCTTTCCCAGGCCTTAGCAGAGAGCTGGATCGGAAGTGGAGCAGCCAGGTCTTGAACCGGTGCCCATATGGGATGCCACCACTGCAGGCCATGGCTTTACCCGCTACGCCACAGCGCTGTGGGCATGTTTTCATCTCTACTTTACTCGTGGAGTTCTCACCCCAAGACCAGCTGTGGAGGGGCTGAGTCTGTTCCGCCTCTTCCCTTCGACTGTTGAGACCAGCTTCCGGACTTCCTAGAGGAGCCAGTGTGGTTGGATGGCACACACGTGAGAACTGGATGGGACAGGCCTGAGTCTGAACGAGTGTCCTTGGGTAGCTGGCCATGTGGCGCCATAGCCAGGACCTGGGGCTGCAGAAAAGTGCCTTCCCCCCACCGGGGGGGCCCTTCCAGTAGTGTGCAGCAGGCTCTGTAAATGCCCAGTGCCTCAGTTTCTTCTCTGCACACAATCCTACATCCCAGGGCTGCTGTCAGGATTAAACGTGAAATGCCACATCCAGGGCTCATGCTAAGTGAGTGGCTGGAACAGACATGACCTTGTAGGACTTGCATCATTGAGGACGGGGACAATTTCTTTGTTTCCCTAACCTTTGTCACAGGCCTTGTCCCTGGTCATGGTGGCTGCTCAGTAAATATTTGGAGAATAAGTGAGTGAGATGGTGAAGGACCCTCTTAGTTAGAAATAAATTCTCATCAGAAGGTCTCAGCTTCATGCACCTTGGTCCCCTTCTCAGAGTTCTCTTTGGGCTTTTTCCTCTTACTCTGGAAGATTTCCCCTCCCCTTTTTTTTTTTTTTTAATTGAGGTGGCATTTATAGAACATAAAATTAACTGTTTCAAACTGTCAGTCATTAACAATTCAGCAGCATTTAGTACACTCACTCACTCCTCCTGTTGTGCAACCCTCACCTCTATGGAGTTACAAAACACTCTCATTCCCCCACAATAAAATCCCACCCCTTAAGTTGTCACCGATTGCCCTCCCTCCGGCCCCTGGCATCCGTCCATTTGCTTCTGTCTCGGTGAAATTGCCTGTTGTGGACGCTTCATACAAATGGAATCATGATCCGTGGCCTTTTGTATGCGGCTTGTTTCACTCATAGTGATGTCAAGGATCAATGCGTGTGCGGCACACATTGGCACTTACATCTTCCTGCTCAGTAGTATTCCAGTGTGTGGGTCTACTTCTCTTGGTGGACGATTGGCTATGGTGAACCGTGCTGCTGTGAGCTTGTGTGTGTTACTAGTATTTTAGCAGCTGATTTCAGTTCTCTTTGGGTTCTTCCTAAGACAGGAACTGTTGAGTCATATACTAATTAGTCTCTATGATTTTTAAGAAGGTTTTGCCCTATGGTCTTCAAGCTTGAGGCTCACCTTTTTGGTGACAGGGAAAGGAAAGAGAAGGGAGAAGGGGGAGGGGAAGGGAAGGAGAAAGAAAAGGAAAGAACCCACTCTTGCTCTGCAGACCTCACTGCCTTCCAGGCCATATTCTCTGCAGATGTCAAGGTCACGGTGAAGGGCAGGGACTCTGTCCCGCTTGCTGTTGGTAGCTCCATGGGGCGTCTCTGAGGGGTAGGCAAGCATTCAAAACTCGGAGGGTTTCAGTCTACAGGTGGACCTGGTGGCCAGGGAGAGGCTGTGGGTAGCATTCAGGAGGAGGCTCTTCGAAGTCTCCCACTCTGCCCCCTCCGCTGTGGGCCAGCCCCTGGTCCTCCTTGCTCTCAGGTGTTCCTTCCTCCGGCATGGTGCAATGCTGAGCTTGCCTGCAAAGCTCCCCAGTCTGCCCCCAGCGATGCTTTGCTCCTCCCTTGCCCCCAGCGGGGCCCCGAGACATCCCCTGTGTCACTGCCCTGTTCAAGACTCCAGACCTCCATACTTTTAAGGCCCTTTAAAAATTAAATGTGTCAAATACAACACACAAATTAAGATTTGGTTCTCTGAATCATGAGGATGTGAACACCTTGGCCTTATACATACAGCAGTCACATGACCTTTCCCTATGCCCACAATACCGTGTTATGCCCAGGTGACAACCATGCTTCCCGACCATCTTCTACCACATCAGCTTAAGACCCTTCACATGTGTTGTTTGTTTGAACTGGGGTCCAATGAAACGTGATGGGTTACATTGGGCTTTGCTGCTTTAGCTTCCTTTCATGACTCAGTCCTGACCTGATTCTTCCCCATGGTTTTGCCTTTTTGCAGAGCCTAGGAGATGTCTCGGTACTGGTTTGGAAATTATTTCCTTGTTATTTAATTTGTTCTCCCATTAGCTGTGTTTCCTGTAACCTGGAAATTGGGCCCAGAGGTTTTGATTAGATTCAGGTTAAATGTTTTTGGCATGAATCCTTGATTTTATAAATTTCATCTTGCATCTCATCAGGAGACATGCAAGGTCAGGGAGCCGGTTATTAGGGGCACTACATTTTGTAAGCTGTTGGTCACCAGCTCTGTCCCATTTGTGAGTGGCCCGAGGGTGACACTATGTCACCCTTTCCCAACACGCTCTCCGGTCATCGGTTATGTGGGGGAAGTGGCGCAGCAGTGGTGACTTCCTGAGCCTGCTGTCACTTCCTCGTGTGCTCGCTGCCAATCTTCTATACAAGGAGTGCTTACCTTCAGCTCCTGGCAGTGGCAATGGGGCTGTTTGAATGCCAGGGAAAATGTTTAATTTTCTAATGTTCAGGGTAGGGCGTTCGTTGTATGGTGTTCTCCTTTAATGGTGGCAAATTAGTTTTGTTTTGTTTTTCTTTTTAAAGTGTTTTGGGGCTGGTGCTGTGGCACAGTGTGTTAAAGCCCCGGCCTGCTGGCTTCACAAATGAGCGCCGGCTTGGGTTCCGGCCTGAACTTCTAATCCACTTCTAATCCAGCTCCCTGCTAAATGCGCCTGGCAAAGCAGCAGAAGATGGCCCAAGTGCTTGGGCCCCTGCGCCCACTGGGAGACCCGAAAGGAGCCCCTGGCTCCTGGCTTCAGCCTGACCCAGCTCTGGTTGTTGTGGCTATTTGGGGAGTGAACCAGCAGATGGAGGATCTGTCTTTACTCCTCTGTAACTCTGCCATTCAAACAAATAAAAAATCTTTTAAAAAAGTGTTTTATTTTGAAAATTATGTTTAATTTATTCAAAAGACAGTTTGCGAGAGCAAGATCCCATCAAACAGTTCCCTCCCATTCAATGCCCATAACGGCCTAGGGGTGGGGTTGGGGTTGGGGTTGGGGGTTGAAGCAGGGAGCTAGGAACTCAGTTCCGATGTGAGCCAGGTTCCAGGAACCCAATCACTGGAGCCGTCACTCTGCTTCCTAAGGTCAGCCCTGGCAGGAAGCTGGCCATAGGGGCTGGAGGCAAGACTCTCTCCCAGGTGCTCTGGTTGGGACGCGGGCATCCTGACACCTAGGCCAAATGCTCACGCTGCAAGTGGCTTTGTTTTTGGTTGTCGGTATGGACTCATCGATTTTTGTTTATTGGTGGCAGATAATCAGTGTTAGCAGTTATTCTTTTTTAAAGAAAGCTTTTTAATAAATACAAATTTCATTGGTACAGCTTTAGGGACACAGCGGTTCTTCCCCCCATACCTGCCTTCCCACCGCCAAGCAATTACTCTTGTGATACCCAACTTGTCTCCGATCTGGCTGGCGGCAGCCCCTCCGAGCTGGTTCTCTGGCGCAACAGGATGTCCCTGACCCCTCCTTGAACTTCCCCTGCCCCAAACCTGGAATTCACTGCTTCCTCAGAGCGCTCCGATTCTGTTTGTTGCAAAACGGTGATTACAGCAGATTGGGGTTAGGTGTGTTCCGTGCTCCGTGTGTCAACGCTCCCAAGCCCTCTCAGTGGATAACAGCTGGGAAAGGTGTTTGAGTTTAGGATACTCGTCTTCCTTCTCATAGGGTAGGGTTTTCTCTTGGCACGACTCTTGAGGGCTAGTTTACAGAATGAGGTTCATCCCCCAAAACCCCGCCAGGGCCGGGACCAGAGCGTGAACCCCCGTTCCTCGGGCCCTGGCTTCTTGCGGTTGGCGGGGTCCCCATCGCTCTCCTTCCTGCACAGGTTTGTGGATTTTCACGCAGCGGCCTCCACCTGCTCGCCCTCCAGAGCCTCCCTGCTCACCGGCAGGCTCGGCCTCCGCAATGGAGTCACGCACAACTTTGCGGTCAGTTCTGTCGGGGGCCTTCCACTCAACGAGACCACCTTGGCCGAGGTGCTGCAGCAGGCGGGCTACGTCACCGGGATGATAGGTAAGCCCGCCACGCAGCCCACGGTGGCCGCCGCGCGTGCGCAGAGCTCCACCCAAGCCCGCCATGCTGCCCATGGTGGCCGCCGCGCGTGCGCAGATCCCCACCCAAGCCCGCCACGCTGCCCACGGTGGCCGCCGCGCGTGCGCAGAGCCCCACTGCCCCAAGCCTTGTTCGTTTCCAGCACTGGAACTGTGCTTTGAGCTTTGAGGAACTGGTAGCTCCTACAGGGGGTTAAGACATACACGCAACTGTTTTCCTCAGTACGTGGTTGTTTTCTTTACGTCAGCTTCTGAGAGAGCCCGTGGGGAGCCGGGCGCTGTCTCCACGCCTGCTCCGCCATCTTTGCACGCTGGCGTTTCTCCTCTCGCTTGTTGCCTCATGGTGGCAGGATGGTGGCTTCCGTGCCCTCGCCTCAAAGAAAAAAAAAAAAAAAAGAGAGAGGCGGGTGGTGCCGGCCGCGCTTGTCCACTTTTAAGGGGGAAGCCAGTCTTTTCTCAGCTGTCACCCAACCCCAGCGCTTGATCTTGAACTGGCTTCAATCTTCCTGGCTGGAGCTGGGTCACGTGGCCACCCCGCCGCAAGGAAGGCTGGGAAACTGGAGCAGGATTAGAACGGCCGACGTGGCCTTGGGCACAGTGGATAAAAGCAGAATTCTGCCAGCCGAGTGAGTGAGGACTTCGGAACGTGGGAAGGAGCCAGCAGCACCTGCCACGCTGTCCAGCGACTTGGTTTGTTAGCGTTTCACTGGTTAAATGCTCTTCGTTGTGTTACCAGGTGAAGCGGCGGCGGCGGAGAGATCATCTCAGTTCTTTGTCTCACAGGGGAGACGACTTTCCGAGTGGACAAGGCAGAGAGAAAAGCAAGATTTATTCAAGTCAGAGACCTCCTGGCCAAGTGGCCGGGAAGGAGGCTCCTGGAGAGGCAAAACCCAAAGGGGCTGGTGGAAGTGGGGTTTTTAAGCACAATTTTGGGGAAGAATGAACAAAATAAACTTGACAGTAACAAGGTGGGAACAAAACCCATCAGAAGACCTGAACTGTGATCTTATTTGCCCTGTCTGGCTTGCTCAGACTAAATAACAAAAATGCTATCCCAGGGATAGGATAGGTAAGTTGTTTTCACAGTAAACAGCTCAGAAGGGTGGAATCCCGCTCCCTTGCTGTTCTCGTGATAAGACTGGAAGCTCCCAAGGAGTGGGGCAGGCACTTTTGACCTTGCTGGGGAAGCAAGCATTTTGCACCCTCAGTTCCCACCGGGACCAACCAGTCCGACTGCTCACTATGAGGTGCCAGGCGCTGGTCTGTTTATTTTTATCAGGGGATGATGGGTATTTACCCGTTGTAGAGATGAGAAAACAGTTTCAGAGCAATGGAGAGACCTGTTGCGTGTTGCCTGGCCTGGGGTGGGTGGAGGCCGGGTCTAGACAGGTGTGTCTGGCCCCAGCCGTGCCCTTGGGCTTTGCTTCCATGCCAGCCTCCCCTCCAGGGGCCAGTAGCAGCCAGCAGCCCCAGCAGCATTCTCAGGCTGCTCGTTAGGTTGACTCTCAAAAGAGCTGAGTCCAGTGGGATTCCCAGAATGAGATGGTGTGCCAACTACAGGGGACAGGAGGGGCTCCTGTCGGTGCCTCCTCTCTGCCCTGAACTGTGTTCACCTGCGGGAGGTTGCTGTACCCACACTGAGGGCTGGCACCTCTGTGTTGACTCCATTTTCTCCTGGCATCCTTTAGACACGTTCGAACCGGAGCATAGTTCGAACTGGAGCGTAGCGTTCTCTTTTCTGGAAGGGCAGGCCCTCATTGGTCAGAGGTCACCAATTAAGGTCCCACCTTCCTCTCTTTAACAATCCCTTTCTCGGCATGCCCTGAGGCACAATTATGTTATCAGCATCAATACCAGGACTGCATTGTGGGCTGACTCTCCCTGCTGGACCTGTTTAGTGTGTCCATTTAATCCTCATAGCTAGGAGGGCTTGGTCCCAGGGCTGCCCGATTCCAAAACCTTGTGCTGCTGCGAGAGAGGCTAGGCTCTTCCTGAACTGGCCTTGGCCCTCTCACTTCCTGCCGTTAAACTCCAAGGAAGCAACTGGTTACAGGTGGGCTGTTGAGCTGCCGCCCACTCTACTGTTCATGCCACCTTTTGCGTGTCCCGGGTGGGATATTCAAGCACATCCACTTTCCGAAATCATGAACTATAGCGCTCTGGTAGGGAAAATTAAAAACCCATCTGCTTCGGTCAGCTTTTCATGACTGCAACAGAACACCGGAGATAAGCTACTTAGGAAGGAAAGAGAGATCTGTTTTGCTCACAAGATGGCTTCTTGCTGTCAAAGTTCCGAGGTGGCCCAGAGTATCACGTGGCAAATGACAGAGGACACCTGTGTCCAATTGTGAGGTCCCGGAACCACCAGGAGTTAATCTTGCAGTCTCTACCCTGCTGACCCAATCCAGTCACCACCTGAAGGCCCCAGCTGCAGACACCGTAATTAGTTTGTTTCTACCCTCTTAGTTAACAAAGTTTGGGGGTCCATAGGGCATTTGGGGGGTAGTCACCATCCAACCTCATAACCATGCTGTAGCAGCTGTTGTGCACACTGCTGCTACTCTGGGCCCAGTGATGTGTTCTTACCTGGTTGCATCTATAACACGTGGCCCTGCTGCTTTTCTTTCACATTATCTTATTTCCATGTAATGCGAAATCCAAGCATTGCACATAATGCTTAAATAATACATACATTATAGTTTCCATAATGTTTAGATTTCCATGGAATAATCCAAGCATTCCATGTACTTCATCCATTTCCATTAATTTTTTGTACTAAATTTCCTTTTCAAATGTGCAGAGCCATTGCAGGAAGTGGGTAATGGGCCCCCATAGCTCCTTTATCCGGATTCACTGTCAAGCTTTGCTATTTGCAGTTGTCCCTAGAAGGCAGCCAGTGGGGTTTGATTGATAACTCACTCAGCTGTATTCCCGTAGCTGCCAGTTAATTTCTCTGTTATGTTACTGAAGGCTGCTGCTGTTTGGACCTTTGTAGCCCATTCATTTCTGTGCCCCCTTGTTATTGGGCTTGGTCCTCAGAGTGGATTGAGCCGGTCAGAGCGTTCTGACCTTGTCGGAGTTCTGCCCAGTTCTTCCTCTGACCGAATGCACTTGCAGTGCGGGCAGCAGCAGGTGGTTGACTTTTCTCATTTGCTGCCCCGTAGGTGGCTTGGTGCTGACGCTGCAGTGAGAAGCAGGCTGTCGTCCAGCCTGGGCGGGCTGCTGACGTTGACCAGAGAGAAAGGCAATGAAGCCAGATGGGAACCGGGTATTTCTGAGATGATGTGCAGGTGCACCTGCGTGCTGAGCCACCCAGGGTGCGGAGGCAGAGTCGGGGGACAGCAGACTGCATGGGACTGCTGGACCCTCTTTGAGAGGCGGAAGCTCAGCCTGCTGCCTTCTCAGCTCCTGGCGATGGTCTGTCTTCCCCTTTTACTGTGTGCTTTCCTACATGGGTCCTGAGTCGTCCCTGCTGGCTTTCTGTCTCTCTGTGGATGCCCTCCTGGATCCAGAGAGCTAAGCATGGCTTCTGCCATGCATCTGCAGCCTCTCTGGACTGGTCCTCAGTCAAGGGCCAAGTCTGTGGAGAGCTGAGTGTGAGATCGGCCCCTCCAGGCATCTGGGTGCCTCCATGGGGATCCCCTGAACTTCCCTCTCTGGTTTTTCTACAGGCAAATGGCATCTTGGACACCATGGCTCTTATCACCCCAACTTCCGTGGTAAGAATTCTTGGGGGGATATTACTTGGGAAACAGAAAATGAGGCTCCCTGTTGAAAGGTCTCCATGAACACGTGAGCCACCTGCCCTGGGGGGAATCCCTCCTTCCTTAGGGCATAGCAGGGTCTCAGTGTATTTGCAATGCACCTGCTTGCTGGTGCCTTCCCTGTCCCCCCTCCTTGGTGCCTCTCTGACCCGGCGGCTTTCCTGTCGCAGGCCCATGAGTTTCCTTGCTGTATCCCAGTTCATTGTGCTTCAGGGAACGTTGGGTCCTCCTGAGGTCCAGACCTGGCCTATGCAGTAAGAAGTGACAGTTGTTTCATGAGTTTGCAAGGACCCTGGCCTTGGACCCAGATGAGAGGTGCTGCCTCTTGCCTGCTGCCTGCAGCCTTTCACTGCCACAGGCCTCTCCTCCTCTGGCTTTGGGGTATAGGCCAAGGACAGGCTGTCAGAGCCAGTTTTCTGAAAATCAATTTGCTGAATGACGCATTCTGCAAACATCCAATTCGGCGAATTATCGATGGGTTGTCAAGGTTGCGATTTGTGCCCTTGCTCGCTCTCTCTGACTTTTCATTTCATGTGGAAATTCATGAATTTTCTCTTAAGATTATTTATTTATTTGAAAGGAAGACCAACAGAGGGAAAATAAGGCACACACCCACACCCACATCCAGAGAGAGCGAGAGAGAGCGAGAGTGCTTTCACCTGCTGGTTCACTCCCCAAATGGCCGTGATGATGACTGGAGATGGGCCAGGCTGAAGCCAGGAGCCTGGAACTCCATCCTTTTATCCCACATGGTTGGCAGGAGCTCAACTACTTGGACGCTCTTCTGCTGCTTTCTCAGTGGCATTAGCAGGCAGCTGGATCAGAAGTGGAGCAGCTGAGACTTGAACCAGATGCGGGTGTTACAGGCAGTAGCTTAATCTGCTGTGCCACAACATTAGCTCCTGTTTCTGGTCCTTCACAGAAACAGTGTGCTACCCCTCGTCTAGACTCAGCCTGACACCAAGTACAGCCACATTTCAATGCTATGGGGTGTCCACATCTGTTTGTACAGGTCAAGTTAGCTGGGACATGTTGGGTGGCTTTTTGGTCTTGGTTTTTTTGCCAGTACAATAATCATAACAATAACTACTAGCCATTCTGTAGACAAAGCATATTGGGTTGACAAAGACCTAATGTCCTAATTCAAAGAGTGCATGGCTGATGGAGAGGACCCATGTCACCCAGGCTGATGGGGAATCCATGGGCTGTACTGGGACTAGAAGTGGAATGGAGGAGGGGGGCTAGCAGGGTGTGGTGAGGAGTGGGAAATCCTACAGGAAACTTGACCCTAGAACTAGGACAGGAATACCGATGCAGTGTCACCTGTGGAGACACAGAGCAGGGAGTTCCAGGTGAAGCCCTTGAGGCCTCCAAGTGTGAGGCACCTGGAGACTGCAAGGTGCCTTGGTTAGTCTGGGAAAAGTGCTTATGGAGCAAGCCTATGGAGGGAGGGCAGGAGATGAAGCCGAAGGTGCCACTCCCCCTTCTCACTGACTTAGATCTTGAGGCCACTGATAAATAACAGGTGCTTGGGAGATTCAAGTCCTGTCTACCCCTAGGAACGTAAGTAAGCTCTCTGGTGATTGAGAAAAGCTTCCTGTGGGAGAGTTTGTGCATGCTAGTTGCATGTGTACCTGTATCCTTTGGATGAAAGCTTGGGCTGGAAAAGAGAAAGGCTGAGGGAGGATATTGGGGCAACCTTGACACAAGGTGTGCAGGTCTCAGCACTCACATGCTGCCTTGTCTCATCTCCATCCCACCACCCTGAACCTGAACTTGCCAACCTTCTAAGTCCCAGCTGAAATGCCCTGTCTTTCAAGGAGTATCTTGAGATTCCCGCTTCCAACTCATCCCACTGCATTTATCTGATTGGTTGGTTCATCTGTCCATCTCCTGCAGCTTAATCTACACGCATGTGGATTTCATTTTCCCTTCAAATGGAAAGTCTCTGAAGGGCAGACTTTATTCTTTTATCCCTTAGAGTGCCATGCACACAGCAGATTTTCACCAGATATTAATTGATCATGTCCATAATTTCACCAAGATTGTTAGGTGTCCACTTATTCTCTCTACTTCCTTGGAAACATTGCAAGATGTTTTGCAGATCTAATCTTATAGCCAGAACCCAACAAAGTGATTTTCTTTGCATACTACAAAAGAATATTAATCAAATCCTCTTTTAATTACATACTCCATAGCACTGCAATATTAAATCAAAGGAAATTAAATTTTTGTCTTGAGTATAAGAAGGCAGGCATGTGGCACAGCAGCCAAGTGGGGGATGCTCACCAGTTGTTTCTTTTCCAGGTTTTGATTACTATTTTGGAATCCCATACAGCCATGACATGGGCTGTACTGACAGCCCAGGCTACAACTACCCTCCTTGTCCAGCGTGTCCACAGCGGGATGGGCCATGCAGGTAATGTCAGCCAACCCATTGGCTATGGCGTGAGAACAATGTGAAGTGTTAAAGCTGTGGTCCACAGGAAACCAGTGGAAGATGCAGATGGGACGGTTAAGGCCGCAGATAAGATTGTGTGCCCAGTGCCCATTTAAAGGCCTGGTTTGCACAGAATGCAAGAAAGCTTTCAGCAAAGATGAGGTCCACAGACTTCTTCTGATGCAATTTTCCAGTTTTGGATCGATTAGCCCAGCTGGGGAGAACCCTGTGCTGCCAAAGACTCGCTCAGCAGAGTCTCTCCCTCCTCCTGTGCCTGCTGATGGTGCTCCAGGACCACAGACACTGCACATAGGGAGGGAGCTGGGGGAGTGAGAGAGAGCACGGGCTGCTTTTGAGCTGCTTTCCCAGGGACAAGCCAGCCAGCGCTCTGACAGTGGAATGCCGTGCAGGTGCTAAACAGGATGTTTTTAAACATATTCAATGAAATGGGAAAACGTTCAGGATATAATGGCAAGTGTAAAAAGCAGGAAACAAGCCAACAACAGTATGATCTTAATTACCTCTGGAGAGAGACTCTGAGAGGCCAAAATGTTAATAGGGGCTCACTCTGCTTGGTGGGGCTAAGAGTTTTCGTTTTCTTCTTTTTCATTGAAGTACCCAAGTACTCTGTAAAAAGCATATGATACCTCTGTGGTAGAAAAAGACACCAGGCCTGGCTCGGTGATGAACACCACGAGCCATGTACTGCTCTGGCGCACACAGGGCACCGAGGTTATGTTGAAGGCCACAGGTGTCTGGGCCACTTGGGAAAGTGAATCTCAGCTGGCTCATTAATAACACCATGGTTAGTGTAATGAGGGCTGTTTGTTGAGAAATTGTTACATTCTAGGCACTCCCTAGGTTTATCTGTAATCCACTGTGGGAAGCAGGTATTGACCTGATTTTACAGGCAAAGAAGCTTGCTTTGCCCAAGTCACATGGGAACTGGTAAGGGTAGGAGTGGAGATTCCAATCTGCTTCTGTATCTTTGCTTCTCAAAGTGTGGTCGTTGGACTAGCATCCTGGCTGTCAGCTGGAGATGCAGGAATTCAGGCCCCGCTCTCGGGTCTGCGTTTTAACAGGACGCCCAGGGATTCGCCTGCACTTTACACGGTGCAGGGTAAGGCCCGGGAGCATGTCACCGCCCTCCTGAGCAACTGTGACCTGAGACTCACACCTGTAATCCTGGCTGTGGGAAGGAGTGACACACCAGCCAGCTTCTTTTTACTGCATGTTCAAATCAAATAGGAAAAAAAGAAGGGGAGCGAAAGGAGGGTGTCAATGATGGTGAAAAGCTGATGCATTCAACAGAAATGCAAATTAGTGAGATGATGCCTGGTGGGTTGATAACCCTTATTTCTTTCTTTCTTTAAAAATTGTGATCCTTGGCCAGTTACCTACCCAGTCTGACCTTTTGTTTAAGCTGTTATCATGGGATGGGTGTGTGTGTGTGTGCACAGGTGTGGCAGGGAGTTTCTGTGTCTTCCCAAGTTCTTCCCTGAACTACAGGGCAGTGTACCCTAAAGGTCCTGGGACTGCCTGCCCGAGAGGGCTCCTGCTAGCCGCTTCTCTCTCGGTGGCTCTCAGCTTCTCTCCTGGCTCTCTGTGGCCACTGCAGAGCCCGAGCACGCCAAGCAAGATGCAGAGCTCTAGCCATTTGTGGCTCCTTTAGATCTCTGGGCGCCCCTGAAAACAGGGTGTGGGGAACCCCATGATCTAGATAAGGAAACTGAAGTTCTGATTGCTTAGGAAACTTGCCGAGAGCATGAGCCCAGGAGTTACTCAACCCTGTGGCAGGTTCACTTCAGCCCGTCAGACCAGGGCTGGGCTGGTGGTTTCCAGGACACGCTATTGGTTTGACTCCACCCCTTTTTTCTCAATTGCTAAGATTTCCCCAACATCTCCAGACATGGCTTAAAATTAAATTCTTATATATTCTGTCCAGTTGCCAAACTTCATGTGACATGAAGTTGTCTGCCGTTGGCTTGGGAAAATGTCAAACATTACACATGATGCAGGAGGCTGTCAGGCGGTCGGGCAGTGCGGACAGCCAGTGGTGGGCTCACAACTGGCTAGTGGACTCTGCTTGAAATAATTCAGCCTGTTTAGACCTCAGTTTCTCTCTCTGCAAAATGGGAGTAATAATACGCCTCGCTCTGGGGTCTTTGTGGCTGGCTTGTTGGAGGAGAACAGTCATCTATTCAAAGGGAATGGAAGGAAGCTATGATGGTTTCACTCTTGGAGGAAGTGACCAAGTGGCAGATCCTTGGGGCCACTCTGCCAGTGTCGTGTGAATCGCTTCATGACCTTTTGCTCTGCCCCACCATGACACGGCTCATGGAGATGAGCACTCTGCTCTCTGTGCTCCCCACACAGCAGGCTCAAGAGAGACTGCTACTCGGACCTGGCCCTTCCTCTCTACGAAAACCTCAACATCGTGGAGCAGCCCGTGAACCTGAGCAGCCTTGCCCAGAAGTACGCGGAGAAAGCGACCCAGTTCATCCAGCACGCAAGGTATGGAGCCCCCTGCTGCCGCGCACCCTTCCACGCACGCTGTGGCGGAGTTTCGTTGCCCAGCCAAGACGGATGCCTGCGAGTCTTCTGTAAGACCCCCAGTGCTGGGTTAGAAGCTCCGCGGCGTCCCTGAGGGCTTCCCTGCAGCTGCCTTTGATCTTGCTCCCTGCACGGTGATTACCATTCTGTCCCCTCCCACAAGACACAGGCTCCTGAGGTTAGCACCTGCCCGCTGTATTTGGGGCACTCAGGGCATCCGTAGAACGTGTCAGCTGACAGGGTGGATTAGTTGCCTGCTGCTGCTGGGACAAACCACTGCCAGTTTCGCGGTGAAAACGGCAGTGACTTACTCCCCTGTAGACCTGGAGGCCTCACGTGTACAGTCTTAGGGGACTGAAACCAGGGGGTCCCCACCACAGCAAGGCTGTTTGCTTCTGGGGGTGGAATCTCCGTGGCTTGTGACTGCCTCATTCTAATCTCTGCTACTGTTGTGCCATTTCATCTTCTGTCATTGGATCTCCTGGCTCCCTCTTCTAAGGACGCCTGTCTTTTTATTATTGTTGTTGTTATTTTAAACTTTTTATTTAAGGCATACAAATTCCACGTATACAGGTTTAGGAACATAGTGATACTTCCCATGCTACACTCCCTCCCGCCCACGCCCCCACCCTTCCTCCTCCTTCCTCTCCTAATGCTCTCTCAATTTTTACCATGATCTACTTTCAATTTACTTCATACTCATAAGATTAACCCTACACTAAGTAAAGAGTCCAACAAATAGTAAGAAAAAGAAGAAGAACGAAAACACCACCTTTTAGGGCTGTAAGCAATGATCGAAGCTCAGAATACAAGGTCACCTGGGATTGCAGGAGAATGGGATAATCTCCATGGCTCAAGATCCTTAACGTAATCCAGTCTGCAGAGTCCCTTTTACTACAGCAGATCACAGTCCCAGGTCCCAGGGATTCCACTGGGCATTCCTTTGGGGCCACTATTCATTCAACCACACAAGGATGGTATCTCCCAGCATTCGCAGGGGCCAGGCTGGCAACCTTAAAGGGGGACGCAGGCTCAGTATAGGGCTAGGAAGGGATGGGGCCTGCAGTGAACTTTAAGCCCACACCCCTTCTAAAGGGCAGCCCCCACTTCGTTCCAGCTGCTTGTCGCTTTTCTGTGGGATGTGAGCCTGGAGCGCCAGATCTTCCACTTCTGCCATGGAGACCGGAAACCTGGCTCTGATGAGAAATCTGATATTTAAATGTCAGAAACTGCTAATTAAAAATAGCCAAAGAGCAAGTGTTTGATCTGGTGGTTCAGACATTGACTAGGATGCCTGAGTCCCAAGTCAGGGTGCATGGGTTCAACAGCTGACTTGAGCCCCCAGTTCCGCCTTCCTGCTGATGCAGATCCTGGGAGGTAGCAGTCACAGCATGTGGGAGATCCAGAATAAAGTTCCCCTGACTCCGGGCTTCAGGCCAGCAATTGAGAGCCTTTGGGAAGTGAACCAGTGAATGAAAGATCTCTCTCTGCTTCTCACATAAACAAATAAAATGTTGTTCTTGTTTTTCTAAAAGATGTATTTTATTTATTTGAAAGGTGAAGTTAGAAGGAGAGACAGGGATCTCCCTTTCTCTGGTTCACTCCCCAAAAGGCCTCAATGGCCAGGGTTGGGCCAGACCGAAGCCAGGAGCCAGGAGCTTCTTCCTGGCCTTCCACATCGTGGATGTGGAGGTGCAAGCACTTGGGCCATCCTCTGCTGCTTTCCCAGGTGCCTTAGCAGGGATCTGGATAGGAAGTGGAGCAGAGTTAGTGAGAGAGAGAGACAGAGAGGAAAGGTCCTCCTTTTCCCGTTGGTTCACCCCCCAAGTGGTCACTAAGGCCGATGCGTTGCAGCTGGCAACTGCGCCAATCCGAAGCCAGGAGCCAGGTGCTTCTCCTGGTCTCCCTTGTGGGTGCAGGGCCCAAGGACCTGGGCCATCCTCCACTGCACTCCCGGGCCACAGCAGAGAGCTGGACTGGAAGAGGAGCAACCGGGACAGAATCTGGCGCCCCGACCGGGACTAGAACCCAGGGTGCTGGCACCGCAGGCGGGGGATTAGCCTAGTGAGCCATGGCGCTGGCCTTGAATGTTTTTTAAAAACTCAAAACTGAAAAGCAGAGGGACAAGTTGCGTATTTGTGTGACGAGGACTGGTTTGAGTCTCTGTTGGGTCAGAGTGAAGAGTGGACTTGGTGAAATTCTGAACAACTGCCAAATTGTACACGCTCGTCTTGGCTGCCAGACATAGCCAGCGGGGTGTGATTGCACACACACGGGCACAGACACCAGGGGCACTCACAGTCCCCCACCCCGCCGCCCTGGGACTCGGCTGACCCTGCTGTCTGCCCTCATGCCTCTCCTGCTGTGTCTTATCTTTCTCCCTAGAGCATCAATTCCTCAGGCCAGTGGAATGGTTTCTGGTAGGCCTTTTGATGTGTTCCACAGCCTTCGCCCAAGGGGGCAAGAAAAAACCCTGCAGCTCCGCCATCTTCCTGAGCCACATTAAAAGTGGCCTCACCTTGGAGGAGGGTGTGGGATCTTTGAATGTGCAGGATCCCCTGGCCCTTGCTCTGCCCCGCTGGGCTTTGCAGGGGGAAGGTCAGCAGTCAACTTGCCTTCAGGACAGTGGTTCCTCCAAGCACTACAGATGGCGTCTTCACTGTGGGTCAAGGTTTCGTGGAGAGCCACGGTGCAAGGGTAGGGCTCCTTCTCCCCTGGGAAGGCTGACCCAACTCCTGGCTCCCTGGAGTTTTCAGAGGGTTTCAGGCTCCTGTGGCAGTGGAGGCATAGCGGCTGCGGGGGAGCAGTCATTTCCCACTTTGCCGTTGGCTGTGCCCCAACACAGCGCTCTAAGGGGGCCGGTGGCACCCTGCTGGGGACGAGGGACCACTGAATGCTCGCGCTGGAGTGGGCACGGTGCCTGGACATCCCCAGCTGATCAGTTAGGTAAAAGAGCAATCAGCCCACAGTTTCCTTATCACATGGAAAAGGCGAAGCGTGTGTGATTTATTAATTACTCAAGAGCAGAGGGGCTGGCTTTTAGCTTTGCAGACGGCACTTCCGAGGCAGGTGCTTGTCTCAAGGCGTAAATCTGCCGATTCTTCTGCTACTTTCTGAGCAGCTGCCTGGAAAAACCTCCGCATCCTGCCCCCTTCTCCTCTGAGACCCCTGCCTCTACCTCAAGCCCCTCTCCCTGCTTGGACCTGTTTGTCCATGGACTCCACAGTAGCAGGCAAAGCAGGGGAAAAAAAAGGAGAGAGTAGATGGCTGGGCTTCTTCTTGCCACAGGGTCTGGGACTGTACATTGAGTCTGTCTAGGGAATACAGGGTTTGACAAGGTTGAGCAGGTGGGGCATAGGCTGAACAGTGGCCCAGGCTCTTTGAAATCAGAGTGATGTGGGAATCCAGAGCACGGTCAGTGTTCCAGGCTGTTCCAGGCTGTCTGTGTTCTCCAGCTTCATACATGGAGACCCTAACCCCTAGTGGGATAGCATTAGGAGGTGGAAGATGATTTGGGTTAGATGAGGCCGTGAGGGTGGAGCCCCATGATAGGGTTAGTGTCCCTCTAAGAAGACCAAGCATGCTCCCTCTTGTGTGAGCATACAGTGAGGAGACAACTGCCTAGAAGCCAGGAACTGGGCCGTCCCGGACGATGGGCGCCCAGCCTCCGGAACTGAAACGCAGCTGCTCGTGGTTTTAGCCAGCCAAGCAGCCTGAGACACAGGGCGTTTGTCACTCAGAACCACGCCCTGGAGGTGCACACGTGAAAACCAAACCGCAGCTTCCTGGGGCTTCAGCTTTGGATCTGCTACATTCCCCTCCACTTGACCCCTCCCTGTCATTGCTCTCCCCACTGCTTGTCCAAGGGCCCCCAGGTGGAGCCGTGTCCTCTCCATGGTCTCTGTCAGCCAGCTCCCACCTGGCACCACCAACCAGCCTGCCACCCACACCAGGGAGCCAGGTTCACCTTGACCACCATCACCCCCATTCTTCCTCCTGTTGAGATGCTGGGATGGATAACGGGTGAGTAAAGGAGGGAGTGATGAACGGCTGTGCAGTCACGTCCAATGGTTTCCCCAGCCCCTCTGTTCTCTGCCTTGAGTGGCCACCGTTCACAGCCCACCCGTGGCCCCTCCAGCTTTCACATCTCAGGAGCCTCCTTCATGCCAAACCCTCTTTGGCTCCTCCTCATACTCTTCCATGGCTCCTCCATCATTCCTAAATAATGGTCTTGGGAATTTTTAGTTGCATCTTTCTCTCCCCTGTTCCAGGAGGGTGGAATTCATACCTGTTGTGCTCATGGCTCTGTCCCCATGGGGTCCTGGATAGAGCTCAGTAGACATTAATGAAAGAATGAAATAGAACATGAGTGAGTTACTGAATCCAGCCCCAAAGACGTGCCAGTGTTGTGGCAGGGATGTGAAGTAGAACTAGACATGTCCTTGCCTTTGAGTGGCTCCCATGCTAGCGGGCAAAGGGCTCTGTGAAACCCTGGCTTTACTGCAGGTTGTTTGTATCTCATGGATTCGGCAGTAGGGAAGAAGGGCCATGACAGGACCAGGTGCAGGGGGAGGAGGCCAACCTTGACAGGGAACAGAGGAGGAGCTTGAAGGCTTTGAATGAAAAGTTGGGACCAACAGTGAGTTTAGCCTCCGCTTGCGATGCCGTCATCCCATAAGAGCACCAATTCGAGTCCTGGCTGCTCTGTTTCCAATCCAGCTCCCTGCTAATGCACCTGGGAAAGTAACAGAAGATGACCTAAGTGTTTGGGCCCTTGGTCACCCATATGGGAGACCTGGATGTAGTTCTGGGCTTCTGGCTTCGCCTGGCCTAACCCTGGCCATTGTGGCCATTTGGGGAGTGAACCAGCAGATGGAAGATCTCTCTCTGTGTCACTCTGCCTTTCAAATAAATAAAAATAATTCTTGGGGCCAGCACTATGGCATAACAGGTAAAGCCGC